CTACTGTTTACTCCTGTATGAGATGTCTACTGTGCAAGATACTTCTCTCTACTGAACTAAAGGACTGTGTTTACTTGGTGAGCTGTTCATACTCAGCATTGTCTTTGAGAGAAAGGTATCAGAAGAAGAAGAAATACAAGCAGATAAAGACATTGTATTTACTGTTTATAGACTAGGTAACTGGATGGATATACTGGATACTGACATATGGACTGAATGACTCTTCTTAATCTCTGTGTGAATTAAATATCTATTTAAAACCACAAACAGTGTTTTTGTCTCAAGTGTGTGTATACTCTTGGGCCCAGCCTCTCTCTCTCATTTGGCTGCCTGGTTAGACTGCTGCTGTGCACTCTGCTCGGGGGTTTATCCCCAATCACTAACAAACAGCATACTTGTTTTAAATGTGGACTTGCTGATGCTTATCCCAAAGGTAGTTTTTCAAGAGGCAACTTGATTTTCTGGTTTTTCTTTGAAGATGTTTCACTTCTCAACCAAGAAGCTTGTTTAGCTCTGACTGGACAGTGGGGAATGGAAGGATTTATACTCCTTGCAGACAGCTGGTCATTTGAATTCTTTTAGAGAGTCATTAAGGTCACCTGGAGGTTTATCTGTGTCATCAGGGTCACCTGAGTAGTGCAAATGGGTGTGGAGCCTACCTGGAATGATTGAAAGGGCTGTGTTATAGACTGGAGAAGTGAAACATCTTCAAATAAAAAACAGAAAGTCCAGTTGCCTCTTGAAAAAGTACCTTTGGGATAACCATGATCTGGATGACTGAGAATCTCCATAGACATTGCTTAGGTTTTATCAATACCAAGTCCCAATTTAATGGGCTATATCAGCCAGAGATAGAAACATTAACAAGGGGAAGAAAAGGAACATAGGATCCATATTGTCATTCCTCCTTTTGTTTTGTTTTCTTCTGTTCTTAAGAGACCAAGAATAATTCTTGAGTTCTTAATGCAGGCATCTATCAAGTGTCATCAGGCCAAAGAGAAATGCTTGTTTCAGTTATTAAATCAGTCTCTTCCCATCTCAACTTTGCACAGTTTGATAGAGCACTACCTGGTTTAACAGGAAAATACAAGAAAACTCTTGTTATTGTTTATGCTGAGTATGGGTGCTCTCAATTTCCTATTTTTTTTATTGTTCCACACTCTCGGAAATAGTTTAACATCAATTTGATTAACTTGAACATAACTGAGTAGTATGAATGAGAAAAGCTGCAATATTTTGGCAAGCACCCCAAGATGTTTGCCAAATCAATGCCCATTTCTAGTTGGTCAGCTGATGGATGATAATGCCTTTTATATTTGAATCTTATCTTTTTAGAGATCACACAGGGCCAGTCCTAAAATTACCTAAAATTCCACATTACTAGTCAAACTGTAACACCCCTAACATTCTGGGTTTTTAATATGTGAATAAGTGTTTCTTCCAATGTGTACCAAATTATTATCTGCAGCAGCAAGATGTGTGTGTCTGTGACATATATGTGCTCTTTGACATTCCATAGGTAGGAGAAACACTTTATATGAAAACATGAAAGCATACCTTTTCTGTTCTAGAATTCTTTTCCAAGAGACCAGGATTGATGCTGACTTGGGAATTCCTTTCCCACAGAAGCACGGGTACCAGCCTTGTCTGCTTTCATTGCTAAGTGAATACCTGGCTTTTGATTCTAGTATTTTTAGCCTAAGGAAAAAAATGCCCAGCCTTGATATTTGTCCACAAATGCTTTTCTATTGGTATTTTTTTATTGTACTTCATTTTATTCCATTAGCTTATTTAATAAATGTTCATTTCAGAAATCTTTTTCATCAAGAGAAAGTGCTACAAAGTGTGATAAAGCAGGGTTTGTTGCATGTACTGATTGTACTGTTTAGTCAATATTTACATTTACATTTTATTGTATTATTATATTGACATTACATTACTACATTTAAACCTTTTTAAAACTATTTACAGTATTATTTCACAGTCCTCTTTGGCCATGAAGGGCAGAAGCCGCTTGAGCTCCGTTGTGAGGAAGAAGCAGATGGAGAAGAGTGGGTGGAGGCTATTCAGCAAGCCAGGTATGAAATTCCAATACTAGCTACTAATAATTTGGTTTGGCTAAGGGACAACGTCTTCCTTCCTTGTTTTCTTTTCTCCCTCCCTCCTGAGGATTTCTACCAGCTCCTTCTGTGCCTCCTTCTCTTATAATGCAGAAAAAGAACAGTCCAGTATGTATTTCTACATCATTCACAACTTTCCAATGTCCTCCTTTACCTGTAGTACTAACCCAGCATGATTCATCTATTTTGTCTGTATGGGTAGTCTTCTGAGATAGGAGCAGCAGCTGGAGTCACATTTATATTGTAACAGTAAAGTAACTTGAAGAACTCATATATGTAGAGTTCATTGTCGGGTCCATTTGGCTTTTACCGGAACGTCCCAACAACGATTCAGTGGCTGTTAGCAATGGCGCTCCTTTCCAGCCGACGGTCCGATGCATTTCGATCCTTCCTGCTGCATTAATCGGGGCCTGCGTTCTGGAAGATGTTCCAACATATTCTGTTCCGTCTTGCTGCATGGATGGGAGCCGGTGTCTTGGCTGCGGTTTAGAGACAACACAGTTTGCTTCCCACGTCAGTTATCGGCGATTTAGGAGTGTAGTCAGCTGTTGGGAGGGGCGGTGGTTAGTGGTTGCATCAGCTGCTGCAGGGCGGTTCCAGGGAACAATTATATCTTGTTAATCTTGTTGGAGAAAGCAGATACAAGGCTGGTGTTGTAGTTCAAGGGAAAGAGAGGCTTAGACCAGGGCATGCAATT